CAACAGAGTCACCCTTCTAATTCACCAACATCCAGGCCTTCATTTTTTATACTGGAATGGCCTCTCGGTTACTCATCATGCAGCTGTTTACCAAAGCCTTGAAATATTAAAAAACTTCACGAGCAATGAAGAAGAAGATATGGGCGTGTCATGCACAGGGCGCCTTACAGGCTTGGAGGATTTGTGAAGCAAATGATACCCAGGACAGGAGGAAACTCCAGAGAGAACAGCTCCACAGGACTCAGAGGACAAAAACACCCGGAGTACCAGCCAGAGTGGGGGAACAGTCTTGCAAAAATATGTTACACAAATCAGATTGTTAATCTTCACCTCCCTAAAAAGGAAACACGAAAAGATAATGCAAGCAATATTTCCAGGCATACGCTGGTGGAACCTGTATGACAGATATCAAAATTAGGAACATGATCCCACAAAGCTAGACCTCAGCTGCTTTCACTAGGCGGTCAGATCAGCACCCCGCACAGGCACCTCACCTGCACAGGCAACGCACACCGAGCCACTTCCCAAAGGGGCTCGATCTACTTCCCTCCGTCCTCTCGACACCTAGCGCACTGCACAGCTTGGCCCTCCACATTCACTGAGTAAAGGATAAAAGTACACAGTACACCTACTATGAGACCTTTCATCTAGCCCATGAAACGTGGTTTTCTTTTCTTTGAAAATGTGGAATTTTTTCAATTCACAGGTAACACCGTATGTTGCACCATATGTATTTTTGTGTGCTTTTGTTTTGTTTTGTTCGTCATGTACAATGTGATACTTTATATGTACATCAGAGAATAGACAAACCTAGCTAATTAACAGAAGAGGTATCTCCTATAATTACCATTTTGATTTCTGTATTGAAAGCACAGTTCATTCTACATCTTTCAAACACATACTGGAGAAATTAAATTAAATTTTAAAAGAAAAGAGAGAGAGAGGGGCCAGGGTGATGGCTCAGTAGAATAAGCACTTGCCTGGGAAACGCAAGGGCCTGAGTTCAATCCCTGGTTCTGCTAGAAAGAAAGAAAGAAAGAAAGAAAGAAAGAAAGAAAGAAAGAAAGAAAGAAAGAAAGAGAGAGAGAAAGAAGAGAGAGAGAGAGAGAGAGAGAGAGAGAGAGAGAGAGAGAGAGAGAGAAAGAGAGCGCACACATAATTCAATAACAGACTACTAGTCCAGCATGTCTGAGGTCCTGGGTTCATTCTTTAAAAGCAATCTTCACACTGGAGGCTGAAGCAGGAGGACCACAGCGAGTCTGAGGCCAGCCTGGGCTACAACAAAGTGAGCTCAAGGCCAGCCTAAACTGCACAGCAAAATTGTCTCAAAAAGGCAACAACAACAAAGCATTATTATACACAATACATTATCATTAGCCATAGTGACCTTGCTCATCAGGTCTCCTGACATTTATTCCACCTTGCTGATTATAATTATATAACCCTCACACAGATCATTTTTAATGTTGCTAAAAATAGGAAAGCCTCCCTTCCATGGAACTCAGTGAGCAAAGGATACAGTTAAGTGCAGGAATCACACCTCACCAAGGGGCCTACCAACTAAGGAGACCTGCCTGCCCTACGCATGATGCAGGGCGGGAGCGAGCGGCCTTTTACAATGTGTCAGCTAGATGATAAGAGCACTGAATAAAATATGTGTGCATTGTTTGAAATGACACAGCAGCCAGGCGGAGCACCCTCTTCGGCGGGCCAGCCGGCTGGGGCAGATGGTTAACCATTCACCAGCGTCTTGGAAGACCACCGAGAAAGTAAACTCCTATGAGATGTCAAAGGTAACAGAATACACGCTCCTTCCCAGTCCTGCCTCTGATTAAGGAAAACAGCCCGCAGCCAGGCTGCTGTTCTTCGAAGGCGCTGGCCTCTAACACATCTGAATCCAAGATCATTTCTTTTGGTTACATAAATTCTGTCCTTTATGATCAGCAAATTATAGTATTTGCTAGTTGAATCCAAAGGTACCCACCATGAAGCTGACAGATTGCTCCTTACATGGGCTACTGTCCTATCCCAAGGGGCTCAACTTCAAAAGTGTAGAGGCTCCCTAGCTGATTACCCATATCCAACACGGTGAAGTCCTCCTGAGTCTCATGGCTTACTGGGTTTCCTATGGGTCCCACACCTTCACACTCACTGCCACAACTCTAGTCAAAAGAACAATCCCCAACACCCAGATATGTGCAAGTGCTTCCCCTACCCCAGCCTCCAGTCTTTTTGAGACAGGGTCTCCCTGTGCAGTGCAGGCTGGCCCAGCAAACCTCCTGCCTCAGCCTCCTGAGTGCTAGGACTATAGGTGAGCACCACCATGGAAGGCCACAAGTGCTTCTCTTTCTCCAGTGGTACCTTCTTGCCCTTTCCAGCCTCCCCGTATCTCAAATCCAGTGACTCCCCTAAGGCACAATTCTGACCACATACCTTTCATTCCTAAAACCCAACAGCCATGCACTGTTTAAGTGAAAAGTCCCAGCCAGGTGGGTGGTTCTGCTTTTCCACTTCTGCACCGCAAAGCAACGCCTCCGAGCACTTCATCTTCTACAGACGTGATGCAGGTAAATCCCAGACTGCCTGGTGCCTACACATCCCATTCCCCTTACTAACCAGGCTATTGTAGGGTCCCACTGTGAAGCATAACCGGTTATAATTTACACCACATCATAGGAAACCACACACTTCTCAGCAATTTGCTGATCCTTTTAAGCAATTTATGAACCTAAGACTACTTATGTGATTAATCTAAAGATGTTCACCAGTGCATCAGGTCTAAAAGTTCACAATACGGATCCGAAGATATCCAAACAACAGAGCTAAGATTTAATCGACACTCAGAGAAAAGTGTCTGGAAAATTCCCTCTTTCCAATTGTTCTTTGAAGTGTGACAAAGAGAGTGGCAGTATGCTAACAAGAAAAGTATCCATCAACTCAGAACCTAGCTGTTCACTAGCTGTGTGAATCCAGGAAAGTAAATTGGTCTTCCGGAGCCAGAGCTTCTGGGTTCGTCGAACATAAAAGACAGCTGTGCTCGCTTTGACAGCGCATATACTAAAGAGAAAGATCTACCTTCTCATGTGCCTGTGAGGGAGATGAGGCACACTAGCGCACTAGGACGCTACAGCAGGCTGTGCTCAAGTAGATAAAAGGGGAAGGCGGGGCTGACAGTGCCTACCTCAGCCTACCAGAGAGGGCGGAAGCTGACTGTCATCAGGATGGGTCAAGGACGTGTGCACCTGCATCTGCTGGCCTTGGCAGAGGAACCAGGGGAATGACCCCGGCTGGATGAATGACCTTGGATGAATGCCCCAAACAAACGCACACACCACCCCATGGCAGAACGGGCCGGAGCCGAGTGCCCAGAGGGGTGCTGAGATGAGGGCTCTGGGGGAAGCGGGCACAAGGTCAGAAACAGCAAGAGGCTCAGACCCCATCCCAGGTGCGCAGCGAGACTTCCAGTCGGCAATCTGCTCCTGTACACAAGGTGCTACTCCAGCTGCGTGCTCCCAGACAATGACTCTAAAACAAGGATTCTGACCATCAACACACAAAAAGAAGTCGCGGTACATGGAAGGAGTCCCTGCTCGGTGGCAGGCACAGTGCTAGGTCTGCGAAGCGTCGTGTCCTTGTTCACCACAAGCCCAGTTGCAGAGGAGACCCTGTCATCTATGCTACATGCACGAGGAAAGGGAGGGTCCAAAGATTAAAGCTTCTGGTTAAATGCAAGGAATTACTAAACAGCAGAGCCAGCGTTGGAAATCAGACTGGCCTGGATATTTATTGTGGCCAAAATTTCCAAGAAAAATAGGCACACAGGCTTTTTTCCACTTAAATTAAAAATTCAACTACTTGTGAATATCATATTTTTTAAATATGCTTACTGAAAGATTTTACGTTCTTACAAGTATTACTTCCCAACAACCTCAGTATTTCTTACTCAGTACAAGTTACTTTTTTTTTTGGTCTTTGTGAAACAGTCTCACGATGCAGCTCAGGCTGGCCTTGAGCTCACTCCGCAGTCCAGGCTGGCCTCAAACTCACAGCAATCCTCTGGCCTCAGCCTACAGGCATGTGCCACCATGCCCAGATTTATAGTAGTTATTTTTAACATTATCCATCCCAATAGCTCAGGACTTCCATCCTAACCCCAAAGTTAAGAAGTTAATCATAAAAAAGAAGTTAATCATTCAACACACACTGTAATCAAAAAGAATCAGAAAGTCATTTAAAAATCTTTATCATAAATGACTCAAAAATCTGTAGCTTCTAAGCAAGATCCTAAAGATCACATAATACTGACCTCTCAAGTAATTTTAAAAGACATGGTTTCACAAATATTTTCAAAGGCCACAGGCTTACTTTCTTTATACTAAGATAACTTTAGCCAACTCCAAGATGTTTTATCAACCAAGGTAGAAAGTCTAGCGGCTTGTGAATTTTCAGAATACTGCCCAAGTATTGCTAAACTCCATTAGAAACACTCAAAACAGAACAGAATTCCTACAGGTGTACATACATGATTCCTATTTATTAAAATCTCATTCCTGAGGCCGGGGAGATGGCTCAGTAGAATAAGCGCTTCCCTGGCAAGCGCAAAGGCCTGAGTTCAATCCCCAGCTCTGCTAAAAAAAATAAAATAAAATCTCATTCCTTTCAAACAGTACAACTATTCCTCTAGATTAGGGCAAAATATAGATGTGCAGAAAGATACAAAGCAATCTATGCCAAGCAAACTCTGGATAACAACTTAACTTTCCCCTGCAAACGCATATTCAGGAACCAGAGAAAACAATGCTTTTCCGATATTCCTTACTTTGTTAGCTGTGAGAGCAGAGCAACTGAGATATTTAAAGAATTGTGTACTGAAAGATTTCTGCAGTGGAAAAACACGGACCTATTTTGCAAAGTGTGGCAGAAACTAATAGGATTGGTGAAGAGCAGAAGGTGAGCTGGCTGCCCTGCCGGGCCCCGTTTTCCAGCCTGATCTTAGTTACCTTGCAGGGAGATGTGGAGGTCGTCGATGCCGGAGGAAACCTGTTCATCTCCAGCGGGAACCACAGGGCTGGATGCCATTCTCTGTTCCGTGGAGGTTAGATCACGCCCATCTCAGACACAGAAGTAAACTGAAAGGGAAAAGCAGGAATGCTCATGAGGGACCCTGCGGCTCTGCACACGTCGCCAGAAAAGAGCAACAGCCAAAAACCGCCATCCCAAAGAAATCTGGCCAGTGCTTCCTCGGCCCATGAAGAACAAAGTAACTACGCCTACTTTTTGAATCATAATCAAGATATTGCCCGTGACCTATGGCTGCTCTTCGGAGCTGCTGGCAGAACGCCCCGGGAGCATGCGTTGTGGATCCCTGGCCGGCTGGCCAGCAAATCGCGGGGTCCTGAAGTTTAGCAACCTGTCTAGAGGCAGCGAAGCCCGACTGGGATCTCCGGCTGCTGACAGGAAAGTTTTCTTTGAAACTTTTTAACTTAGCTCTTTTTCTGCTCTGTAACTGCTACCACTTACTGGAAACAACAAGAGTTGATCCCAAAGAGCACGCAAAGTGAAACTAAAAAAACCAAAACTCGGGATACAATGCATCAGAATACTTTGATGAGATGCGTAGTATGCTACTTTCCCAAGGACTTATTTTTCCGTCAGCACATTTCCCCCCAGCTCCTCCCTGAGCTGTATTTCCCAGAGCTGGGTATGGAGCCCAGGGCCTCCTGCAGGTCCTAGCCTGGGCCCTCCTGCCCAGCTGCCTCTGCAGCCATTCACCTTGACCCTTAAGGAACCCTTTCAATAAAAATAATTCTTATTCCACAACTCTTTTTTTTTTTTTTTTTCCAGAACCAGGGATCCAACTCAGGCCCTTGCGCTTGCCAGGGAAGCGCTTATTCCACTGAGCCATCTCCCTGGCCCCTTTTTGTTGTTGTTGTTGTTGTTTTGGTTTTTTTCACAACTCTTTTAAAGAACTGCTTCAAGTGTGGGGCCCAAAAGTAATTTCTGGAGGTTCAAAGTAAAACAACAACCTCTCCCATATACATTAACAAGTAACAACCAAACATAAAATCTAAAATGCATGCAGGCTGGGTATGGTGGCCCACACCTGTAATGCCAGCAGTCAGGAGGCTGAAGCAGGAGGTTCTCTATGAGTTCAAGGTCAGCCTGGACTATATAAAGTGAGTTCAAGGTCAGCCTGGACTGTATGGTAAAACACTGCCCCAGAAAGACAACAAAACTAAATTAAATTAAACTTTAAAAATATAAAGTACAGGGCTAGAAAAGGAAAGAGAGGGATTGAGGGAGAGAGGGAGGGAGAGAAGGAGGAAGAGAGGGAGGGAGGGAGGAAGAGAGAGAGAATATGAAAATAAATGCAGGACTGGAAATGTAGTTCAGTGCTGGAGTGCTTGACTAATACACCCAAGACCTTGGGTTTCAACACCAATATCTCCAAAAGAAAATTATTTTTTAAAATATATTTACAAAACAATGTAAATCCCTGATAGAAAAAAAAAAAATTAAGATGCACTCACAGCTTTGTGACTGAGCAAGTATTACCAACAGGATCTATCTATATGATGCACTGGGGGTGCAGCGCAGTGGTAGAGCAGTTGCCCACTATGGAAGAGACACTGAGTTCAACCCTAGCAACACACCTTAGAAAAAAAGGGAGGGGGAGCTGGGGAGATGGCTGAGTAGAGTAAGCACTTGCCTGGCAAGCACAAGATCCTGAGTTCAATCCCTGGTACTGCAAATAAAAAATAAAAAAAATTAAAAAAAAAAGAACTACAGTGGGCCAGCCACAGAGCTCAGCAGATTAAAACGCCTGCAAGCAAGCACAGGGGCCAAGGGTTCGATCCCCAAGCCTGCCATGCCAGCCCCACCCCCAGGGCACGCTGAGACAGCAATGGAGACTGGGCGTGGTAGCGTGAGCCTGTAATCCCAGTTCTTGGGAGGCTGTAAACAGGCGGATCACTACAAGTCCAATTTAGTACTGAGATCCGGAACACCCTGTAGACCCTTCCCTAAAATACAAAAGAAAATACCAAAAAAAGAACTACAGTAAGGGCTAAGGAGATAACTTCGTGGTCTAAGCGCCTGCCTGGCAAGCTCAAGGACCGGGGTTCAATCCCCTGTACCACATGCCGCACTGGCCCCAACCACCACGGTTTGCTTGGTGGCACACATCTGTAATCCCAGTGCTAGGGAGGCTGAGACAGGAGGATCACTACAAGCCCAAGCTGAGTAGTAAGACCCTGCAGAAAATAAATAATTTCTTAAATGCTACAAATTTTAAAAAAAAAGTGCAGTGAATGCTGCCGCCAAATGCCATTCACCAGAAAGGCAGACTCATGAAAACATTAGCATGTTCTCCTCCACGCTCTTCACCAGGGCTAGCACCGTGTGACCTCTGGTTCTTCCCCCAAACCCAAAGATCATGAACGGTAAACGTCCTGAATCCTTCCGAGATTCAGCAGCCTCTCGGCAGGGTGAGTAAAGACACATACAGGAGAGCACTTTGAGAGGTGCTTCCCAGAGTGGCAGGAACAGAAGCTGGGCACATGTGGGGTGGGATGAACGGCAACACACATCTCTTACTGAAACAAAGTTTTTTTAAACACTCACTGTAGGGCCGAGGAGACAGCTCAGCAGCATACGCACCTGCCTAGCAAGCATAAGGTCTTGACTTCAAAATAAATATTAAAAAAATAAACTCATTGTATTTTTTAAACACACCTCATAAGTGGGTGTGCGCTGTACAATTCTCTCGCTTTGCCCTGTATTAGCATTTCTTCATAATAAAATGTTCAAGGGAAAGCCAAAAGACAAGTCCAAGGCCAAGAGTTAGATATAATCAATCATATTAAATATTAAACACTTTCTAAAATCCAAAGGATAAAAATCATTCCACAGTTCAAAACATTTTCCATGCTTTTTTTTCCTCAATATTTTCTACCCAAAGCCTTCCTCTTAGATGCCTTTCATGGATCACTGCTACTAAATATTTCATCAACTAAACTTTATCAATAATGCGTTTGTTTACTCTCTGAATTAAGTGTCGAGAGAAGCAGCCCAAGGAAACTGTGCAGCTGTAATGAATTGATTTAACCAGGAGGAAAGACTTTATGAGCTCAGGCACCCAAGCCGTCGGCTAACAAAGACATCTCCAGCCATGACATGCCGAGGACCTCCCTGACCCTTCCCACACCCTCTGGCGCCTAAGCCCAGGTGAAGACAGAAACACTGCTTCCTTCTGACAGGTGAAAAATGGACTTTATTTCATTGGGCACCCACTGTTCCGGGGCAGGGCTATTTCTAAAAAGGCATGGGGGAAGGTAATAAAAATCACAGCAAATGTGTACCCGTGTTCACAGCAGGACAATTTGTCATAGCTACATCTTGGAAATAACCCAGATGCCCATCGTGAGGAATGGATAAAAACAAGACGTGGTATTTTTATACAATGGACTATTATTCAGCTACAAAAAAGATAAATTTGAGGCTTTTGTAGATAAATGGGTGCAGCTAGACTACATTGGCTAGTGAAATAAATCAGATCCACATGTGCAAACTTGGCATTCTCACACTAGTGTAAGAACCTGATAGAGTAATGAGAATCTTAAAGACACAGCAGATACTGTGAAAGGGAAAGAAACTTTTCAATGGGAAGGAAAAGCTGGGATGAGGAAAAGGACAAATGAGAGAAGGGAAATAATATTTAGTTATATATGCACAATAGTTCAGATAATTGTCTATTTCTGCTGGTCTTCTAAAAGGAGCAGTTAAAGCCTAATTTTTTTTTT